CCTCACATGTGCTGGGAAGAGCACGGTACCAAACAGATGACGGCATTTATCGCCCTTGCCTGGAGAGTTGTAGACAGTTACCCCAGACACAAAATTCGAAAACTAGAAAAGGTGGGTGCATGATAGCACTCTTTCCTCATTTATTTATCTTGCAGAAAAACAAAGGGCTCAGAAGTACCTAGTATGCATTCAATGGGGTCCAAGTTTAGGTCGCAACATAGTTTTTTCTCCAAAAAAATACCAAGTACAAAATATAATGTGTCTCGTTATTTGAGAAATGAATAAAAACATAATTAGGCTATTGATATTACATATTTTAAACTTTATAGTAGGCTGATAGCTAATCTTTCAAAAATGGGTTGAGAATGTGAATATGCTAGGGATTCTATTTCTATTAAAACTTTGAAAGAAATTTTGCAAAACTATTTTAAAAGACATGGACAAAATAAACAAGACAAAGTAAAGATCCATAACTTTAGGGCTTTTAAAAAAAAAAGATTCTGCCTACTGGGGACAATTTGGAAATATATATTCTCAACATAGCACCTCAAGTAGATTAAACTATTAAAACTCATATTCTGTTAGTTTCCAGTTTTAAGATGATATTCCATTTTATTATTAAACTTCCTTTTAATTTAAACTTTAAACCAGCTGAATCTCATATTAGCATTATTTCTTGATGCAATTCAAATCAGGAATGTGACCAAAAGACAACAGCCCTTTTTTAATGACCTCAAGCTTAGCAATGCCTGGTAGCAAGACCAGATGCAATTTCAACCTTAAATCATGTACAGCAAATTTAGAGCTGACAAACCTCGATGTTGCTCTCTCGATGCCTTCTCTGAGATCATCAAGGGTGCATGTCTTAAGTTTAACGCTGACATTCATTGAGCCATCCTTAAACATCTTCCCTGTGGAGGCCATAAGATGCAGTCTGAGTTCACCAAGACGGAAATTTTCATTATGAAATGAAAGTTTGGACTCCTGTGGTATATTTTTCAAACAAAAAGAATCGATTACCTTTAAATATTATGTAAACACTTTTAAACATATTTCTTAATTCAGAGCTTAATAGCAAACTGATCTCACAAATTTTAAAAGTATGGGTACTAAAACACATAAATGGAATAGAGAATATGCCTGTTTGTGAGAACATATGTAGATTCAAATAAATACATGTATGTGTGTGCTGATATTCAGTAATGATTAATATTTAAAAATTTATCTGATTTATACTTCAATGCAAATAAAAATAATCAAGAAACACTTTTGTCAATTTATCAGTTAATCCCTAACTAATAAATATTTTATGAGTTCTTCTGTAAGAAACACTGATAAGAACTATGGGGTTTATGAGAAAGGATAAGGAAGGCATGGTAGGTGATCTCTGAGCTTATCCCCTACCTTAATTGAGAAAAGAAGATATAAATATATTAAAAGGAACATCACAAGGAGATGATATAAGGTGTAAATGATCAAATTCTTAGTGACATACAGTAATTTATTTATTCATATTTATATCTTCCCACATTCTACAAAGGATATTAGGGGGTTAGGTAAAGAGAATAAATAGTAAAAGCTTAGAGAGGTCAAATAGATCAGTGTGGGCTGGGGAAAATTCACATAGAAGGTGAGAACTTAAATGAGCCTGGGAGGCTGCATGGGATCAGACAGGCTAAGACAGTATAAGAGATTCTACATGGAGAAAAAACATGAACAAACAATTCAAGATGCTCTGAGGGCACAAGGTACAGGGTGGTTTAAATATTCCAATTAAAGAATGGTAGGGAATAAGACTGGAAAGAAATATAGAGGCCTAATCAAGTTCTCAAATCCCAAACTAAAGATCTAAACTTTCGGTTACAGAAAAAAGAACCTCAATCTTTATTCCACCATAACACATAATTCTGAATTCTCTAGATATGCCCAGATTTTTAAAAGAACAAAACACAACCAACCAACAAACAAAAAACCTTCAGGGAAGTAAAAATATCATTCACAGTTGCTCTAGAGACCAGGGTGTTGATAAAAGGGGTGCTGGTGACATGCAGTCCTTGACACACTGGTTAGAACTTTACACCATCTCTCGTTCAAAACATATATTGCGTGCAAGTGGGTCAGAATGGCATTACTGGCAAACTATGAATGCCCTTAATTTACAAAAATGAAAATAATTCACAAACTTCTGTGCTATACCTATTAATAAAAATGACGTGATACATTTACTGATCACAACACACTAATGTTTCCTAATATGGTTACTGATGTAGACAATTTGGAGCCACTGAACATTTTGTGCATAAGGAGAAATTCATGTAATATAACACTGAAAGTTTGTAAGCAGAATGGGAAGTTAGAAATGACTACATGAGATTCATTTAGGAAAATGAACTTGTGGCAGTGTTTAGGATGGACAAAAGGAAAAAGAGCAGCAAACAAGGAAGCCATTCCAACACTACAAATGTGAGCTAAGATGAGTCTCAAATAAAGCAGCAGCAAGAACTGACAGAAAAGAACAAATGATCACTCAAAGAAAAAACTGACAGTACCCAGTGTCTGAACAAATAAGGAAAGTGAAGAAAGAAGGAAGTAAAAAAGATAGCAAGATTCTAAGGCTGGGGAACCAGTGGAATGATGGGAACTTAAGTAAAATTAACTGTTTATGTCTATAGGGTCATTTTCTCATGTTTTCATGAACATTAAACATTAGAAATTAAGGCAGTTCATTATATAAATGACAGTTACTAAACTAGCCCGAAACTCAACAGTAATAATGCATAACTATTGGATAAATTTTAGAAAGCAATAAAAATAATGAATTAACATATACAAATGGGCATTAACAACAGACATATTCATTACCAGTACAGATTATGGGTATTATAATATGACATACGTATTACAGGTATTAACATATGACAATTAATTGATATAATCAAAAACACTTATTGGAAGACACTCATAATACAAAATAGCACCCTAAAATGCCATTGATACATTATTTAGTTCAACTCTTGATGGCATTAGACTTTGGTTCTCCAATTCTTTAATCAGTATATTAAATAGATATCTACTACATATAACATTTATCCAATAGAAACACAATGAATGCTTATATATCATGGATAGTCATGAATTTAAAAATAATCGTTAAGGCACCAAAGCCACTACTAAAGTATTCTTCATAAATAATTATACATACATATATATCTAGTTATATAATAAAATCATACATATGATTAATTGCTCATATATAAAATTCCTCTATTAGCAATGGATCAAAATGTGTTTGGGTGCTGATATTACTTAGAAATAAAACTCTGAGTGCTTTTTCTTAGCTTTCTAAGACTAGAAACACTAACAAAGTGAGGACTGCACAGGACCAATGCATGTTACAAAGGCCAAACAGAACTGCATAAACATTAAATCTTTTAATGAATAAGCACATTGAAAAATGCCAGTATTCTAAAACTGAATATCAAGAGCTAAGGAATTACAGAAATTTACTACATACCTGGTTGACATCGTTGTTATAAAGGATAATGGAAAGAGATTCAAAGTGAAAGTCAAATTGCAGAGTGACACTCTGGTCCACAGAAAGCTTTGAGTCTGTCAAATCTTGTTCTGATGGATCAAACATGAATATGAAAATCAAAAAGCTTTTAAGTAGGCACGTGATTTTATACATATTTTAAAAGCTGGGATAATAATTTATTATTCCAAATTTATATCATGCTTTCCAGGATTCTTTAAATCCTATTATGAGACAATAAAAATGGCAGTGATTATTCCGTATATATTTAGAATAGGGCAAAGTGACAGAAGCAGATGATCTACATTAAACAACAACAAAAAGGGAGCCTTGCCAAAAAAAACAAAAAAACAAAAAACTTTTTTAAAAGCCCACCAAAGCAAGATAACTTAGTATAGAGTAGTTCATAATTGTCAAGGCATTTTCCGCTAACTGCTTTCAAACTATCCTCGAGAGATTATTAAATTGGAGGCAGAGAAAAGTCAAACAGTTTGCCCTAGATTAGACAGCTAATAACATATCCTCTGTTAGCCTAGTGCACTTCTCTCTATCTTTAATTACCTACATTACCCAACCCATTACTGTTACAAGAGAACAGAAAATAACTCAATAGCAGAGTCAAACAGAGCTCAAATACGATGTGAGGGGCCTTGCAATTTTTAGGTGAAAGAGACTTCAAGAAATAAGTTAGTCTTTCCCTTCATCTTTAAACAGATTAGACAGAATACATCTTGCAAGATGATTCTATAATCATTTTGGACATTGATTCTAGTTTTTGGTCATTACATAGGAAAGTCTGTTCTTACAAGTTACTAGAAAAGTAAACACAGCATAAGTTTAACCAAGTAAGGAATCTCCAAGTTGGAAAACTCTGTGTTGCCCCCGCCCCCACGTTTCTTGAAAATAATTTATATTCCAATCTTCATCATCCTTGCAGCTTCCATTGAACTCAGAAATTTTCCCAAGTGCCACATTAACCATACAGCGAGAACCAGATACATGCATCTGATCACAGCTGAACATAATGAGAGCATTAATCACATAAAACTTGCCTGTTACATTTTATTCATCTCTACAGTTCCTGTCTAAACCTAACAGCCTGCTTACCTAGCATTTGTCTATGTGGAGGCACAAATGCAACCTGGGGAGAAGATGCTTGCCTCACCAAGTTTATGCAACACTCACAACTATCCACTTCAATCAGAAATCTTACTGTGTACATTGTTCTAACCATTTGTGTGATTTCAAAACATATCTGGCCTAACTATATGAGAAGCAGTGTTGGTAAGGTCTTATTAACCAGCCAATTTTATCGAGGGCTGTCAGAAGCAATAGCTGATGGTCTGAGAGCATTATGAAAGCATAGCAGCCTAGGATCGTTTATTATAAGAGCAAGGGGAATTTCACCTCTTTTTACCCACAAAAATATTAACCTATTTACAGTCTAATAAAACATATGATATTCACATCAAGGGCTTTAAATAGTGAAAAAAAAAGAGGGAAATTATATTTCATATAATTTACTTAAGAAAGCAAGAAGAAACCTTATATTTTACCAAAATTATCATTTAAAAATGGCTGAATTTAAAAGGTTCCATGCTTTCTAAAGTTTCAATTTCAAGAATCTGAAAAATTCTCTTTTCTGGCTGGCCCAGTGGCGCACTGCTACAGTGCGCCGCTTGGGAGCGCAGCGGCACTCCCACCGAGGGTTCGGAACCCACATACAGACCGGTTCCCGCTCACTGGCTGAGCGAGGGGCGGGTGCAGCACCGAGGGTTGCAATCCCGTTGCCGGTCCCGTCCGGTACGGGCGCGACACTGAGGGTTGCGGTCCGTTGCCGGACACGAAAAAAGACAAAAAGGAAAAAAAAAATTCTCTTTTCTATCTGACTATATCATTCTCCAATAAATCCAGATAAGTAAAGCTGTTACTACACAAGAATATCTTCCTTTCTCATGGTTCAGTCATCTGAGTATGATATGTGACACTGAGGTCCTTTTCTCTCAATTATTTTGGGACTTCACTGCTGCATGCCTACTTCGATTTTTCTCTCAAGGTGTACCACCTCACTGCCTGGTGAATTCAGCAAATTCAGCTTTCATAAGTAAAGAGCAAACAAACATCAGCAGACAACAACACGTGACCCTTTCCCTTGCAGCAGACAATATGCATACCTCCCTCCCCTGGGAGCTTCAAGAGGCAGCCCCAGCCCTAGATTTCCACAGTAAATAGTAAAATACTAAATCAGTTCATACCACATTATGCTTGAAAACTAAAAGAAGACTAACTTTAAACATGATATTCATGCTAATTTTTCTCTACAATCAAGGCAAAAATCTTCATCAATTTATACCTTTGAGGTGGTCAGGTGCACTTGGCACACCTTCTTTTCTCACTTTCACAGCCTCCTGCACAGACTGTGTAGGGCTTGGCTGTGAAGAAGCTTCTCCAAGATTTTCCAGCAAAATTTTCATTAAAACTGTTAAGTCATCTTCACTGAGAGCAACCTAGAAGCCACCAATAACTTGTTAACATAAAGTAATAAAAAAATGCAGACTACTGTATCTATGTCTCAATTTATGATTCCTGAAATTAACTAATTGTTCATCTACTAAAAAAGAGGGAGAGAGAGAAAGGGACAGAAAGAGATAGAGACAGAGAGAGCTGGAACCATGAATGGCAAGAGAGAAATATTTCATCTTGTCCACAGTGTGTAAATAACACTTCTGCTTCCACCCATATCCAAGGCCCTGCTTCCGGCAATACAAACTCTTCCCACCTTATCTGTTATGATGTCCTCCTATTCCTGGACCTTTCCCTCTCTCTCTCCCCTTTCCCTGTCTTCTCATCTCTATTTTGCCTCTCTCTTTCTACCCAGTACCAGATCCATCTTCTACATTATTTATCCCGCTCCAAACTCAATATGGGAAGGGTGCTGTTCAGTTTCTGGTATCCAACAAGTAAGACGCTCTCCTGCTATGGAGCTCTTGTTCTCAGTACATATGCATCTGTACATACATAAAACATTTAACTTATCAGGAATAACACTTCTTAGAACAATAACAAATGCATCTATAAAGAATTTTTTTTTTTTTTTTTTTTTTTTTTTTGTGACCAGTAAGGGAATCAACCCTTGGCTTGGTGTCGCCCACACCGCACCCAGCCAGTGAGCGCACCGGCCATCCGTATATAGGATCCGAACCCGCGGCGAGAGCGTTGCTGCGCTCCCAGCGCCGCACTCTCCCGAGTGCGCCACGGGGTAGGCCCATATAAAGAATTTTTAAAAACAAAAAAGCAGACCAGGAAAATAGCATCTTGCTTATCTTTTACCTTTGTAAAAGGGGATGTGTGGCCCAAAAAAAAAAAAAGTTAGGGCTTTTGAGTCAGGCAAATCTGTATCAGCTCTACCACTTTCAAGCTGTGTTGCTGGCCACGTTTTTTAGCTTCTTAACTCAATTTTCTTAACCTTTAAGATAGGAATAATGCCATCTTCCTCACAAGTGGCTGCAGGACAACATGAAGTGGCTAGAACAATCAAAGCTGCTGCTGGCTGATATGATCCACTAAATCAATACTTTTTTTTGAAGCTTATCTTTTTACCTTTTGTACATTTTTTAAAAGACCTGTTTTGAGCACTTACACACAAATTCAGACAAGCATGAACAGCACATCTCCTCTGAATGCCACAATACCCTGTGTCCCCCAAATTAGGTCCCCACACCAAGGAAACTGCCGAGTTCATGTCAACCTTTCTTAGCTGCACCCTATACCCAGGAAAACTATACAGACTATGACAAAAGAGGGAGTGTTGAGAGATGCCTGGATCACCGACAAACGAGACAGTGGAGACCTTACCCACTGTGGCTGCATTCTTGAGTTAACAAGGGTCCTTTTGGT